ATAACAGTGTTAAGCATGTCACTTCCTCTTGCCAGCAGGTGGCGCTACGACTATAACTGAATATGGTTATGTAGATGTGTTCAGGACATAACACCTATCAAACCTGTTAAATTTGGGGCAGATTGGACACTGCATGGTTGAGTTACAGTACCTTCCTTTTTCACTGCATTGATAGCATGCTTTAGCACTTAGCTAAGTGCTGCTATCATGTTTAAGTATGTTTCTAGCATGTTGCCAGCCTATGAAACAGTTGCTGACGATTTTTAATATGTTCCTAGCAGTCCATAATAGTGTTAAGCGTGTCACTACCTGTTGCCAGCAGGTGGCGCTATGAGTATAACTGAATCTGGGCATGGGTGTTTGTTCAGGACATAACACCTATCAAACGTGTGAAGTTTGGGGCAGATTGGACTTTGCAAGCCTGAGTTACAGTAACTTCTTGTTTCACTGCATTAATAGCATGCTTTAACACTTAGCTAAGTGTTGCTAGCATTTTTTAGTATGTTTCTAGCATATTGCCAGCCTATGAAACAGTTGCTGACGATTTTTAATATGTTCCTAGCAGTCCATAATAGTGTTAAGCGTGTCACTACCTGTTGCCAGCAGGTGGCGCTATGTCTATAACTGAAAACAGGCTACGCATGTGCAAATTTTCAAGAGTTTTTGAATATGTTAAGGCCCCCGGAAGGTTGAAAAAAAAATGAAAAAAAATAAAAAAAATAATAATCCTTAGGGGATCAATAGGGCCCTGCGCCTTTCTGACTTGGGCCCTAATAAGAAACGGAGCAATTCCAATAGGGTCCTCACACCATCGGTGCTCGGGCCCTAATTAATTAATTAATTAATTATAATTTATGCAGACGCTTTTATCCAAAGCGATTTACAGTGCATTCAGGCTATACATTTTTTACCAGTAGGTGTGTTCCCTGGGAATCGAACCCACAACATTTTGCGCTGCTAACACTATGCACAACAACCAACACAATAAAATATTACCAGATTCATGGTTCAATTTGGGATTAAACTAAACACTCATTGGGCATTTCAATTTGTTAGTATTGTGAAATGTGCAAGCAGCAACATAATATCAAATGTTGCCAAAGGCACACATGTGACAGGGCATAAATGTCACTGGCCCTCTCGTGTGTGAAATCTGAATATGCATAAATTAATAAATTAACAGTTTAAAGTGACCAGGATATGGTTCGTCCACAGAGTAGGTGGGACCTGTAGATGGGACCTCAAAATTGTAAAAGTGTCTGCACCACTGGTATCTACATTGCAGCTGTAATGCACAACCACTGTGGGATGATGCATTGCAGATCAGATAATACCAAGAAAACGTGTGTTTGAGTAGAATAAGATACTGAAATGCAGCACTATCAGCTGGTTTCTAAAGAACAAAACATCATGCATCTTCATGTAACCAGTCATCAGTCATGCTAAAAGTGTGGAGAGATCAGGCTATTTACTTTAATATGTGTGATTCAAAGTGAGAATTGATATTGTTAGAAGTGCAAATCTCAAATGATCTAAATCAAACTCGAATAGACTGGTTTGAACTCTGTAATAAATAAAATTTAAAAAAACTTTTAAAAGCTGATATCTAATAACTGCAGTGTGTGTTTATGTGTGCCCAACAAAGGCAAAATTAAGTGCGGTTCGTCCACAGAGTAGGTGGGACCTGTAGATGGGACCTCAAAATTGTAAAAGTGTCTGCACCACTGGTATCTACATTGCAGCTGTAATGCACAACCACTGTGGGATGATGCATTGCAGATCAGATAATACCAAGAAAACGTGTGTTTGAGTAGAATAAGATACTGAAATGCAGCACTATCAGCTGGTTTCTAAAGAACAAAACATCATGCATCTTCATGTAACCAGTCATCAGTCATGCTAAAAGTGTGGAGAGATCAGGCTATTTACTTTAATATGTGTGATTCAAAGTGAGAATTGATATTGTTAGAAGTGCAAATCTCAAATGATCTAAATCAAACTCGAATAGACTGGTTTGAACTCTGTAATAAATAAAATTTAAAAAAAACTTTTAAAAGCTGATATCTAATAACTGCAGTGTGTGTTTATGTGTGCCCAACAAAGGCAAAATTAAGTGTCTATGATTCTGAAGCATTTTTAGTCTAAGATCTCTTAGATGAGTTACATGCTGCAGTGACACAAAATGCAAGGGCCCTGTGTCAAGAGGAATTCTGGGAAACCAATTTGCACTTGCTGTTACAAATTTTGATTTAACATTTCATTCATTTGCAGTATAAAAAAAAACATTAAAAAAATATTTGAAATCATTCCCAGGCTCGATAAGGAGCAGACCATTTCCTAAGAGACTAAATACTACATGGTTGAAATAATGATTACCATCTTTATTTTTATTAATTTTGCTCATCAGTCCTTGTCCACCATGTATCATATTTGCAGCTGGTTCTTCTAGCATTGGTCTGACCTTGCCAGTTAGACAATGGCTGAAAAGAACAATGTCTTATAAGACAAAGCGATACACTTGAGCTTTAATGCCTTTGTTGCTGCGTACCGATTTTGAATGCAAGCAGGCGCACTAACAGGACTCTATGCCCTCGGGCTAATTTTTTAGTGCTTTAAAAATGTACGGCCATATGCAAACCCTGCATTTATCATGCTGGAGAGTCTTGATTAAAAGCCATATGCTTCAAAAGTCCACATTAAGTGGTTATCAGCAAACGGAAGCAACAGGCTTCCTGACCTGACTCATTATTCCTGGGTGTATGTAATCAGCGTGGATAAAGTTCTGGCGCAGCTGGAAAAGGTGTTCGAATAAAGAGCACTTTGGTTCCTCTCCCTGACACGGGTATTACTCTCTGACTGCTGTTTGGAATGCAAAGAGGAGAAACAGTCCCTCTAAACCTTATTTATAGTCCAGCACTTTAGCAAGCACATTGATCTTTTTTTAAAGCATTTCTTCTGTGGTCAGCACTGGCTGTGTTCTTTGAATTTTAAGCTGTGGATGGATGTGAGATGTCTGGTGATGCTCGCATGATCCTTCCTCAAGAAAAGAGGAGGATCTAACGCAGGCTATAAGTGCTTTAGGTCAATGAGAGTATATTGTTTGAGGCTGCACCTCTGGCCATAAACAGAAAAAAAAAATTCAGGGCTTTTGTTCATTTTGTTCAGTCTATCCCTTTTCAGCATGTGCATTGGGGTGGAGACAAGAAAGCCATATCTGTGGTGACTTTGGCCCTGAATTGACCTGCAGAGAGAAGATAGAATTATGTTTGATAGCTTGATTAAATGTTAAAAAGTGAGAGAGTGGATGTGTCGACTGCAGAGCCTCGGGCTAATCCAGTTATGCTTAAATCCTGTGAGAGATTCTGGGTAAGACTCAAAACAGTTACCCCCGCCAACAGCCTGTGTCAACTCTGATACTGTTATTGTCTGAGCGGCCAAATCTGAGCGAAGCTCACCTACACACAGATATATTCCCTGACAAGGTGTGCAGACAAATGTAAACTCATTAATGAACCATTTGCCAGCTGTACACTCAGGCACAACAAAACTTCAAAGTAATGCCTGCCAAAATAAGAAGCAATTTGAAAGAAAAATGCACATTTGAAGGGTAAATCAATTTATATTCAGGCGATGTTTGTTCAGAACTTGTTTTTTTTTGATTGCTTGCTTGTTTGCTTTTGTTAAAAGCATCACTAAACACTATTTAAATTTTTTTTAATTCACGCTACACATGCTATTGCTGACTTTTTAGACACAGACGACTGCTTCTGTCTCTAAAATGTAGAGCAATTAAACTGCAGCACTGCATCATTTACGTATATCTGTTACTTTTATGTATTATGTTTCCCCTATAAATTCCTTTAATTTTGTTCTACCAAGACAGATGGAAGTGTAGGCTGTAGGCGTGAGGCCATGTCAGTCTGAAAGGCTATATTTCTAAATCTCAGTATATTTATCACTGTAAACCTCAACAAATCAATCAATCCATATCACTCCAGAGCTATGCTTGAAGCTTCACGTTAGTATTGTTCTTTTTGGCTTTATTTTGAGTTTTACTCAAATCTACTGCGGGTCAAGCGATTAGTCAACAGAAGAGACAGACGGCTGCACGTGAGTGTCCTGCGTAATACTTGGTTATAGATCTGCTGTTGGAATTATTACTTGCTGCTAAGAAGGAATATTTCGTTTTCTGTCTATTTCTACGTTATATTTTTGTTTGCGTTTGTATTTTTGATTGGACTTTCTGGTAATTATAATAGCTGCCCTCGGCTAAGAAGGAGCGCGTGTAATTTAATTGCTCCCTTCCTGCGTTTAAGTGCGAACTGTAGTTTAGATTGGAGGAATTGCCTTGCTATAGACTATTGGCTGTGATAATTAGAAGGCCACCACTGCGTCCGTAGAGTATTTAAACGGCTTGGTCACTGTCATAACTTGGGTCAAGCGATTAGTCAACAGAAGAGACAGACGGCTGCACGTGAGTGTCCTGCGTAATACTTGGTTATAGATCTGCTGTTGGAATTATTACTTGCTGCTAAGAAGGAATATTTCGTTTTCTGCCTATTTCTACATTATATTTTTGTTTGCATTTGTAATTTTGACTTTTACCAACACTCACACACATCATCAATACATCTCTTCTCACAGGCACCTTGCCCACTGCATTCAAGCAGGCTCGGATAACCCCACTGCTCAAAAAACCTACATTAAACACTTACAGATAGCTACAGACCTGTCTCTCGCCTTCCATTCATAGCGAAAACCCTCGGAAGAGTTGTTTTCAACCAGATATCATTGTTTCTTTCACAGAACAACAAACTGGATCCTAACCAGTCAGGTTTCAGGAGTGGCCATTCAACTGAGACTGCGCTACTCTCAGTCACAGAAGCCTTGCGGATTGCAAAAGCTGATTCCAAATCATCAGTCCTTATTCTGCTGGATCTTTCTGCTGCTTTTGACACTGTCAATCACCAGATCCTCCTGTCTGC